CCCTCGGTAAGCGAGGGCAGGGCGCGAAAATGCTGCACGCGGTCATTTTGGGCGTCCGGCGGCCATTTTTGAACCGCCGAACAGCTGTGAAAAAAACATCGCAATGCGAAGATCAGTAAGCGAAACGCTTACCGATCTCTGCAATGCGAGTTTTTCCCTATCTAAACATCGCAATGCGATCGCTTTTACGATCGCAATTGCGATGTCGCTATGCGGATTCGTCATTAAATGGTGCACTCGTTAAGCGAGGCACCACTGTAATAGTGCTAAGGATAGTGATTTCTTCCATTTGCAGATCCCCAGTAGCACTTTTTTATGGAATTCAGCAATAACCATCACCTATGACCAGGCAGAATTAAAAAAAAAACATTCAGTATGCTCCACTGGCATAGCAGATGTCGCTATGCGGATTCGTCATTAAATGGTGCACTCGTTAAGCGAGGCACCACTGTAATAGTGCTAAGGATAGTGATTTCTTCCATTTGCAGATCCCCAGTAGCACTTTTTTATGGAATTCAGCAATAACCATCACCTATGACCAGGCAGAATTAAAAAAAAAACATTCAGTATGCTCCACTGGCATAGCAACAAAGATAGTCTCAACATGTTAAGAGCCAGCTAGTTATGTGAGAGTTAAACAAGTACAGTAAATAATTCCTTCCCGGAACTTTCAGTCTTGTTTATTGTGTGCTTTTCTTATCTTCTTTACCTGTTTGAGTTCATCCAGACAAGGCTTTCATTGTGAAATTGACATGCCTTCCTCTCAGATTATGACAATCCTTCATTTGTGTCATCTTCAGGTGTTTTCCCTCTATTTTTTCTGCCTTTTCTCTCAATACCATAATCCCTGTTAAGAAAGCAAAGACAGAATAGCTGCACAAAGCATTTTGATTAGTGGTACCAGTAGACCTCCAGCTATAAATACTCTCAAGAGAAATCAGTTTGAAACACAAGTTTGAAACAAATGTTTTTTGGAAAAATCAGTCCTCGCAGGTCTTCTGGCTGTGAAAAAAAAACTTCTTGAAATTAAAAAAAAAGTTAAAAATTAAATACTAAGAAAAAAAGATGCTGGAGGTTAGAAGAAGTAAGCTAGTGCAGACAGTCATGATCATAAAAAATATTATCAGTGCCTCTTCTTAGTTTGTGTTCATTCCATTCCATTGGGGGGGAGGATTAGGGTTTCTGCTGTAATAGATAATTGATTAAAGGAGTACATTTATTTTTAATATTTTCTATTCTCGATTTGGTTTGTTTAAAAAACTGAGATGAATATAAATGTAAAACATGACATGGTTTATGTTAAGAAATACATAAGAGTATTTCTTGTTCAAGCAGGAAACATAACTGATAAAACAATGTGTAAATAAGATACTCAGATACCCAGCCTGTTTCCCTAAAAATAAGACAGGGTCTTATATTAATTTTTGCTCTAAAAATGCATTAGGGCTTATTGTCAGGGGATGTTTTATTTTTGTCATGTACAACCATCTACATTTATTCAAATGCAGTCATGTCCTCTTCTGGTTGTTGCACAATGGTTGAAGGCAGGGCTTCACTTAACTGGGGCTTATTTTTGGAATAGGACTTACATTACAAGTATCCTAAAAATCATACTAGGGCTTATTTTCAGATTAGGTCATATTTTAGGGGAAACAGGGCAGTGCCTCAGATTTGCTTGTTCTGCTTGGTAAAAAAATATGCCCAAACTACTACCAACTAAAAATCTATGAATGCCAACATAAATGCAGTAAATTCATCCATGTGGGAATTTGTGACCCACAAGATAAAAAGGTTTTGATATCACTTTTTCTCCTGCTGTATCAACTTTTGGTAACAAGAAGGATTTGTGGTTTTAGGATAGAGAATAAAAGCATACTAATGTTAACTGTTTCTCCCTCTGACACCTAGTTACTCACACTGAGAAGGTCTCTTTCATTATTTACTGGAAAAGCCTTGGAAACCTTCAATTAGTTAAGGACCTGAAATTACTAATTGTGACTGTTTCACATGATGCCCTCCAAATTGCATCATATGCATACAGTATTATTATCATGTGCCGTCAAACTGTTTCCAACTTAGTTGCTCTATGAATTAACAATCAGTAATTTGAGAATTGGGATGTACAGGTTATACCTACATTTTGTATGACTTTATCCACATACGGGGAAGCAGGAAATCCCAAAAGCACATTTGCTTCCTGGTAGATAAAGATTGAAACTACAATAACAGCAGGTGAAAGAACAAAATAATCAAACCTGAACACTCTCGAGAGTCAAGAATGACAAAGTGGAAATTATACCTTGGCACGTTGTGAGAAGACAAGACTTAACTGGAAAAAATAACAAACTAGGGAAGCAAAAGGCAGTAGAAAAAGAGGAAGACCAAATATGAGATGAAATGACTCAATAAAGGAAGGCATGACTTTTCAACTGCAAGACCTGAGTAGGGCCATTAATGCAAGGACCTTTTGAATGTCACTGTTCAAACAGAGTTGGTGTAAGTTGAAAGCAGTTCACATAATCAAGAATTTGTTGCCCTTTCCAGACACTCAGAATCTGTTTCCCAACATGACTGTCCACTTTGTTTAAGGATAAGGTATCTTGGATTTCTTAAAACACTCTTTTCTTTGTTGAGCTATAAGAATCTATGCTGGATGCTATCCAACTGCACACAACATTGTTTGAAAACATACTTTTGGACATGGCCATTGGAGGATTCTGGGAGCTGTAGCCCAAAAAGATATCCAAGCTCTTATTAAGAAATACTGTAATCTGATAAAAAATTAAATTCTGTAGATTTCTACTCAGAAGTAAATCCCATTGCATTCAGTGGGGCTTACTCTTAGTAAAGAGTTTAAAGATTGCCAAAATGTATTAGACTTCCTATAGCTCTATTATACTGTTTGCAGGAGTCTATTATCTCATGAGACCAAAAATTTTAAATTATATAAATCAAATTAAGCCTTGTATCCCTATGTTTTATCATTTTGGACTGTGCATTAGATAGATAGAAAGTAGGCTGTCTGTTATATTTTGTTGTCAGTCTGGTCCTTTTAAGTACCTTGGTAGTTTTTTTGATATTTTATGGATTTTGTATTGTAACAAAGCATAGAAATGTTTTAAAGAATAATCACATCACGGACATGGAATTATACAGAATACAACTATGCCTCTGAATCACTGCCATTATCATACGTGCACTCTTGGAAAGTAATTCAATCACCGTGCACAAGACCTTCCTTTCTCTGAAACAGGGAAAAAATTCCCCAAACCTGTTTCTCATCCAACTTGACTGAATGTTCCTCTAGAGAATTCTGCTGTGTCAATAGAAAAGGTATTTCTTGAAATAAAATGTGATGGAATTAATGACTGTTAAACGATAGTGTATGTTGCAAAGAGAATCATTATATTCGCGAAGGCTTTCACGGCCGGGATCCACTGGTTGTTGTGGGTTTTTCGGGCTTCTTGGCTGTGTTCTGAAGGTGGTTTTTCCTAACATTTCGCCAGTCTCTGTGTCCAGCATCTTCAGAGGACAGCAAACTGTGCTCTGGACAATTTGCTGTCCTCTGAAGATGCCGGCCACAGAGACTGGCGAAACGTTAGGAAAAACCACCTTC